TGGATGAGCGTAATGAAATGAAGAACAGAGGACTGCACACTGACTTACTGCTAAGACGGCAATAAATGGATTTTTAATGAAACTTACTTATTTCCTAAATATAGCCACAACGGGCGCAAGGTTGGTGCTGCGAGAAATGAGCATTGTGTCTCAAGAGAGCGACATCTTGTAGCCAGGAGACACACTTCTTGTCGCTCAAGAAATCAATCAATTTTGAACTTTAGGTGACTCTGGAGTTATGGCGTACGTGATCATGACAAGGCAACAGACAAAAGTAGACTTTCCCCAACCCCTGACCACTTTTCACTTATCAGTCTAGTGCACTTGATGTTGCTATTTTTGCCCACAATTTGCTTTGATGACAAACAAAAATCGCCTGATTTTGCTTTCTACCAATAAATCAGCACCAATCCTTGCCCTCTCCGCCTTCTCCAAGTCCTTTAACACAGTTCCGTACACTGCACACTGACATGACCATTAATCAGTGACAATGTAGTAGCAAAGTATCACTCAACAATGACTCCATTTACTGGACATTTGTTTCTATAGTAGGGTAACTTTTTAACAAGTGTTGAGTGCCAATTTCTTGAAATTTTAAACTGCTCAACAAAACAGCGAAACAAGCCAAGAGCGCAGAAACAACTGAGCTGATTATGTTTTATTTAAAAGATGGCCAGCTTTAGTGACACTGTAAATGAGAATTGTAGTAATAGATTTAAAAAGATTACTTTCTTGTTACCAAGCAGAGTGTTTTTAGCATTTACATAGAAATGTAGTCTGCTTGAAACAGTTTGTGGCTTGTCAGCTGCCAATACTTAACTAAAACAATGGCAAAAATGAAAATGGACACAAAAAGCACAAAGAAGGCCAACAAGTGAAAGTGTACTACAAACATTGTCTCTGGCAAAAGGGGCTGGCTGAAATGGAAAATGGACTTCACTGGACTTTGCGCAGGGTAAACTTCAGTAAAACTTTTGGTCACCTTTACAACCGGTTCTCCAGTTTGCAGGGCAATCCAATCTAGATAGTGCTCAACAAATGTGTAAGTTCCCCAGTTAGTTATGCCTTCGGAGCAGTTATCGCCGTAACTANAACTTCAGTGAAACTTTTGGTCACCTTTACAACCGGTTCTCCAGTTTGCATGGCAATCCAATCTAGATAGTGCTCAACAAACGTGTAAGTTCCCCAGTTAGTTATGCCCTCGGAGCAGTTATCGCCGTAACTGGTGAGTCCGACAAGACTGTATCGTTGAGGATCCTCTTCTAAAGGGCACATCAGTCCTGATCCCGAATCTCCGCCACACGCATCCTTTTCAACAAGATGATCACCTGCCTGAATCTTTCCGAATCCACTGGCGCAATGAGGATCGCAGCTCTCCGCAAAGACGACCGCTTCACGTAACTTCAGCACACTTTTAGTGTTCACACCTGTTGAACCCCAGCCAATTACCCGGCACCGAGAGCGGCAAAGTCGATGAAGAGATTCAGGTCGTGGAACAGGAGTGATTTTGTCACCCGAAAGAGAAAAGTCAATTGGACTAGCGAGACGAAGGAGAGCAATGTCATTGGTGACCTACAAAAATCAAATTATATCATAAATGAACGCTATTATGAATAGTTTAACCCTCACCGTCAGATCGTTGTAATCTTCATGAACAATAATCTACAAATAATATTTGTATAAGTATTGAAACTATTTAAAAAGCAACTTTTACCTCATCTACTTCAAAAAGAAAGTCGTCAATTAGAAAGCTCCTATCTGCATGACCAAGGTAAACGCGAACATCACTTGGCGATTTAATGAAGTTACTGCAAAAATTGTTTTAAATTTAATTGTAAAACTCATTTTTTATTTTATATTATACTTACTGAAAACAATGAGCTGCCGAGAGAATGTAGTTTTCGTTCCAGACCACAGAACCACAGAAAAAGGAGAGCGTTTCCTCCTGTTCAAAATCATCAAAGTGTTTGCGGTAAAGTGCGCCCATGTAACGCCATTTGGATGGATCGCTCTGCTGGCCATTGATGACACGGGGAACTTGACGCAGCTCACTGACGTTGTAAAAAGAGTTGAAAAGGGTCAAACTAAAGCAAAAAACTAGATATGTGTGTAACTTCATTTTGGCAAAACTTTTTTAGACACAACGTGCTAATTTTAAGTTTAAACACTAAACTCAGTTGTCCACTTCTGATATATATCCCAAGTTTATTTGCTTTTGCTGACCAGTTTCAAACTGGAAACTAATCTTTACCCATTACGTTAACTGTCACATGTTCAGTCAGTAGCTCAACAGCAGTTGTTCTTTATCACTGAAAGTCAAACAAACAGTAATCGTTCTCCCGATTGTTTACTAAGCAAATTAAAAAATACTTAAAAAATTTAAAACATTATGTTGTTTTAATAAAAAAACCTACTAATTGATACGGATTAAAATTACATATTTGAAATCAAAAGTTTTAATAGTTTATAAACATCTTTCAGCAAGCTTTAAGGGGGGACTGCGCGCAACATAAAATACCGACAGCGACCCAGTCATCGTAGGGCCAAGCTATCAACACTTAACTGTTCTACATGATAGTCTTAGCAATTCGTGTTGAGTACATATTTCATGAACATCATAGCCACCCAAAATTAAAAAAAGNCATCGTAGGGCCAAGCTATTAACACTTAACTGTTCTACATGATAGTCTTAGCAATTCGTGTTGAGTACATATTTCATGAACATCATAGCCACCCCAAAATCAAAATTCAAAAAAACAGTCAAAAAGTGCGCGGTGTCTCCCCTTAACAAAGCATATATATTTACTTGACCAATTAGCAAATATTCAGTTTTATTAAAGCCTACATTGTACTAAACCCTTCAACGGTTATCAATTAGAATGCAAATGAAAGAAATTGAAAACAATGGTAGGTTAGAG